TAGGTGGGTTACCGCAAACACACACACACACACACACACACACACACAGAGCACTAGTGGTTTGCTGAGAGGAGGGGGGAGGCGGGTGTCCTTTCTCATGTTCCCCCCCCCACTTGCTTTCCCTGAAAGCCTGAGAGAAACCGCCCTCCCTCTTTGGCTTCTTCCTCCGTCTCTCTCTCTCTCTCTCTATCCCCTCCATCTCCCCCCTCTTCTCCATAAGGGTTGTCCCCACACAAACACACACACCCTATGGGGTGCAGGCAATACAGGGGAAGAATGGATGCCCCAAGAGTGAAGGTTTGCTGCCAGGCAGGCAGGCAGGCAGGCAGGCAGCCAGATAGAAAGAAAGAAAGAAAGAAAGAAAGAAAGAAAGAAAGAAAGAAAGAAAGAAAGAAAGAAAGAAAGAAAGAAAGAAAGAAAGAAAGAAAGAAAGAAAGAAAGAAAGAAAGAAAGAAAGAAAGAAAGAAAGAAAGAAAGAAAGAAAGAAAGAAAGAAAGAAAGAAAGAAAGAAAGAAAGAAAAAAGAAGGAAGGAAGGAAGGAAGGAAGGAAGGCACATTCAGAGGGGAATCAGAAGGATTTCAGGCAAGGGGTCCTTGGGAGAGGATCCTGCCGGGACCCTCTTGAACGGATGAGAAAGTCTTGGCACAAAGGACACGGGGGGATGTGTGTGTGCGTGTGCATGAGAAAAAGAGAGAAAGAGGTTCCATCAGCCCTGGATTTAGTGCCCAAAAGAGGCCACCTGCTTGAGTGGCAAATGGTCAACGGAGGATATAAATAAGGACACGCAGTGAGAGGAAGCGACTGTTTGAGGGGTGTCTTCTGGAGCCTTTAGAAGAGAAAGTGGGGAGGAAGGGGAAATTAGAGGTCTTTCTGTCCTGCTGCTCCCCAGGGAAAGCTTGAAAGGGGGGAAATCACCAAGTCCTCTCCACTCTTTTGAAAGCTTCCTAAGGTCAGTGCGAACAACTGGGGTGGGGGGGCCAGTGGAGAGTGTTGTGGTTTTGGGCCACAACTCCCCAGATTCTCTCATGCAATTCGAGGAGTGAGCATCCAAAAACTTATTTCTCCATCTCCAGGTGAAAGTTTCATTTGTGGGTGCGCCTCTTATCCCTTTTGGATTAATAAGTAGAATATAAGAAAGCAAAGTTGGTCTGAGCTATTTGGATGTATTTTAAAATGTTATTGTAAAAACAGGAAAATGTCTTGGGTACCTTATTAAGGATTGAGGTACCTGCGCCCAGCATACTGAGTCTTGCAAAGTCACAGCTGTGGATTCCCTTCAGTCTTCCTCTCTTCAGGCTGTCATCAACTTTTTCTGGTGAATCTTGTCCTGCTGCGATGTGTCAAAACCACACCTGCCAGTGTGTGTGTGTGTGTGGGGGGTGCTTAAGCTGGTATTGCAGGCAGAAAACTGCTGGCTCCTGTAAGGGCATGTCTTGCCGCACAAACCTTTGAGAACTCTTTGAAAAGGTCAACAGGTATGTAGATGCGGGTGAACCAGTGGAGATGGTCTCTCTGGATTTTCAGAAGGCATTGGACACGGTCCATCCCCAAAGACTGTTGAGAAAATTCCACAGTCAGGGGATAAGAGGGCAGGTTCTCTGATGGACTGAGAATTGGTTGAGAACCAGGAAACAGAGAGTAGGTGTCAATAAGCCATTTTTCTCCATGGAGAGAGGGGAAGAGCGCTGTGCCCCAGGGATCTGTCCTGGGACTGGTGCTTTTCAACCCATTCCTCAATGACCTGGAGACAGGGATAAGCAATGAGGTGGTCAAGTTTGCAGATAACACAAATCTTTTCCGGGTGGTGAAGACCAGAAGGGATTGTGAAGAGCTCCTGAAGCATCTCTCCAAACTGGGAGAACGGGCGGCACAATGGTAAATGGATTTCAATATAAGAAAAGGTTAAGTATTTTATATTGGGGCAAGAAATCAAAACTTTAGTTATCACCTGAGGGCTTCTGAGTTGTCCGTGATGGATCAGGAAAAAGATCTTGGTGTGATGGTGGAGATCTCAATGAAAGTGCCAACCCAGTGTGTGGTAGAAGTGAAGAAGGCCATTTCCACGCTAAGGATCATTTTATTATTTTATTTATTTATTGCACTTATATGCCGCCTATATAGACATTGTCTATTCTGGGCAACTCACAACAGACAAAATAAAAGCAGTTAATATATAGTAACAGTTTTGAGATAAAAGGGGGATTAAAAATAAAGCAGCTAACATTATAATGCCGCACCTGGAGTATTCTGTACAGTTTTGGTCACCATACCTCAAAAGATATATTTTATTTATTTATTGCACTTATATGCCGCCTATATAGACATTGTCTATTCTGGGCAACTCACAACAGACAAAATAAAAGCAGTTAATATATAGTAACAGTTTTGAGATAAAAGGGGGATTAAAAATAAAGCAGCTAACATTATAATGCCGCACCTGGAGTATTCTGTACAGTTTTGGTCGCCATACCTCAAAAGATATTTTAAAGCACCAGAGATGGATATTTTAACTGAAGTATTAAAAGACGAAGAAATTGCTGAGGCTAGAAATATGCTGGAAACTTGGTATAACTGAATGAGATATGAGAACATGAATGGGTAAAATTTATTAGAAATATTTAATTTTATATTTTAAAGACTTAGAAAAACTGGTAAAATAACTGTGAAGTAAGCTTAGTAAGGAATCAAATCAGCAAAAGAAATAATATATACTAATCTCTATCACATTCTGTATTTTTATTTACCCCAATACCCTGATCCAAATCCCCTTCCCTATGATCTTCCCTCACCCAATGGAAAATGAATGAATAATTTTAAAAGAAATGTCAACTGTGATATTCAGCGTCAGTCATTCAGGAAGAGCAATGGGGGCAACGATGCAGCGCTATTCAAAGCCCACCGTCTCATCCTGGGTCATCCTTCTTGTAGGCATCTTCCCTGTGGGCTGTCTCTATGGGCTGAACCTGGGTGAGCTGAAGCATGCGGGGGGCTGGCTCTACTTTGTCCTGGGCAGGTATAGTCAGTGGTGTCCATGCAGGAATGCTCCTTGCGCATGTACAGTTTGCTCTGTTTGCCACAGATTTGGTTCCAGCCAGCCTGTTGCGCCTTCGGTTTCCTAGCCTCTGAGAAGCTCAGATGTTGAGGGTCAAAGAATTTGGTCACCTCTGATCCAGTGCAGTCCAGGGCCCGAAGAGACCAGAGCTTGTATTTCTTTGTTAATTGACGTTAGAAATAAAACACATCACAGGTGGCACTTCCAAACTCTCTCCATTTTTTCTCTTTTCTCTCTGTTTCACATAACATCAGCATTTGGTTGTCTATTCTTTCCAGTGGGATCCAACCCAGAACTCAATGAGTTTGTTTTGCCTTATTAACTTATCAGTATTGTTTTTTTTTTTTACCAAAACAAGGGGCTGTAATGTAATATAACTATATCCCCAGCTGAAATTTTTCTAAAAGCTTTCACTTTTAATGCCCCTCTGATGCATCTTTCAAAAAGCAAGTTTTAGGTCAATAAGTCTGCCTCCCATTAAGTTTTTTTTTAATACTTCAGACAGCTAAGATTACCTCTTCCAATGAATCTCAATCCACATCCTATGTATTCCTACAGTTTCTCCCCCATCTGATTTCTCTTATGAGAACTAAGGCTATTTGACTAATTAAGGCTTTCCACATTCAATGCGTTCATATGGTTTCTTCCCAGTGTGAGTTTTTTGATATAACCTAAGAACATCACTGTGAATAAAGATTTTTCCACATTCCATGTATTTATATTATTTCTCCTCTGTATGCGTTCTTTGATGTGACCTAAGGATATCGTTCCGAATGAAGCTCTTTCCACATTCCATGCATTCATATGGTCTCTCCCCTGTGTGAATTCTCTGATGCAAACTAAGGGTACTGCTGTGACTGAAGCTCTTTCCACATTCCATGCATTTATACGGTTTCTCCCCTGTATGGGTTCTTTGATGTGACTTAAGGTCACCACTATGACTGAAGCTCTTTCCACATTCTATGCATTTAAATGGTTTCTCTCCTGTGTGGGTTCTTTGATGTGACCTAAGGTTACCATTCCAACTGAAGCTCTTTCCACATTCTAGGCATTTATATGGTTTCTCCCCTGTGTGTGTTCTTTGATGTGACCTAAGGTTATTACTCTGACTGAAGCTCTTTCCACATTCCTTGCAGTTATATGGTTTCTCTCCTGTGTGAATTCTTTGATGTAAACTAAGTTTACTGCTGTGACTGTAGCTCTTTCCACATTCTATGCATTTATATGGTTTCTCCCCTGTATGGGTTCGTTGATGTGACTTAAGATTATCACTCTGACTGAAGCTCTTTCCACATTCTATGCATGTATATGGTCTCGCCCATGTGTGAGTTCTTTGATGCATAGTAAGTTTACCACTGTGATTGAAGCTCTTTCCACATTCCATACATTTATATGGTTTCTCTCCTGTATGGGTTCTTTGATGTAACCTAAGGTTACCACTATGACTGAAGCTCTTTCCACATTCCATACATTTATATGGTTTCTCCCCTGTGTGAGTTCTTCGATGCAAACTAAGGTTACCACTCTGTCTGAAGCTCTTTCCACATTCTATGCATTTATATGGTTTCTCCCCTGTATGGGTTCCTTGATGTGACCTAAGGGTATCACTCTGACTGAAACTCATTCCACAGTCTATACATTTATATGGTTTCTCACCTGTGTGAGTTCTTCGATGCAAACTAAGTTTACTGCTGTAACTGACGCTCTTTCCACATTCCTTGCAGTTATATGGTTTCTCCCCTGTGTGAGTTCTTCGATGCAAACTAAGTTTACTGCTGTAACTGACGCTCTTTCCACATTCCTTGCAGTTATATGGTTTCTCCCCTGTATGGGTTCTTTGATGTGACCTGAGGTTATTACTGTGACTGAAGCTCTTTCCACATTCCATGCATTTATACGGTTTCTCCCCTGAATGTGTTCTTTGATGTGACCTAAGGCAACCACTCTGACTGAAGCTCTTTCCGCATTCCATGCAGTTATATGGTTTCTCCCCTGTATGGGTTCTTTGATGTGACCTAAGAACAGCACTCTCACTGAAGCTTTTTCCGCATTCCATGCATTTATATGGTTTCGCTCCTGTATGGGTTTTTCGATGTGAACTCAGCCTACTGCTTTGGCTGAAGCTCTTTCCACACTGGAGGCATTCATACTGCTTCACCCCTTTGAGGGGTTCTTCACCTGAAAAATTATTGTTCATATTCATGCTCTTTCCATGCTCCATTCATTGATTTAATTTTTTTTGTGTAGACCTAGCCGTGTCTATTGATATGTGAATTTTATTTTAAAGCTTTTCTGCCTGTGATGCAGCTTCTCCTTTCTTTTCCTGGAAGTTTTTTCCCAATCATCAGGAGTTTGTCAAAATCCGCATTCTGTGAAATTGGAGATGTACTCTTTAGTGTCATTGTTTGACTTCCAGTCTATCTTTTGTCTGCTTTCAGGTGTCTAACTGCTTTCTTTTCTTGCTTCAGTTGGTTCTTGTCACTTTCCAAATAGAGGTAGAATAGAATAGAGAGATTTCTGTTTCTCCTGGTTTATCTGTTTTTTAAAAAAGAGAGGAATATAGCACAGAACCTATTAAAACATATAAAAATGGTTCATCAATTCAGAAGAAGAGAAACATAGAATAATTTAGTTGGAAGGGGCCTATAGAGCAGTACGACTGTGGGAACCAGTTACCTTGGGAGTTGGTGAGTGCTCCAACACTGGGAGCATTCAAGAAAATATTGGATAATCACCTGGCAAATATGCATTGATTGTATTCCTTTGTTGAGCAGGGAGTTTGACTTGATGGCCTTGTAGGCCCCTTCCAACTTCTTTTCCATGATTCTAAGATTCTATAGGGCCATTGATAGCCTCTCTCCAGGAATCAAAATTAAAAGATATCAGCAATATGGTTGCTTTAATATTCCCTCCTCTTTCCAAGGTTGTTGATTTCATGCTCAGACTGCTCTAACACTGAGGAGTTTTTCCTAATATTCAAAACATGGGTTTCTCTATTATGTTTCGTGCATTTTGGGATGGTTAAGAAGAGATTCTGCCCCTCCTCTTTTAAGACTACCTTTAAAGTCTTTGAAAACTGCTATCGGATCTCCCTTCAGTCTCTTTTCTCAAGGCTAAACATGCCCAGTTCTTTCTTTCAGTCTCTCCTCATAGGGCTTAGTTTCAAGTCCCCTAATCATCCATTGTTGTCTTTCTCTGTACCTGTCCTAGTTGAGAGTAGCTGAGAACTGAACCTCCACATCACCGACATTCTAAATAGGTTTTAAAATGCATTTTTTTCCTTTTCAAGACTGTTTTTTTCTGCATAAACCTTCAGAGGGAAAGATAAGGAATGTGTACATCTAGTATAATTCTCTAAAGACTGTGTTGATTTAAAGTTGAACATTACATTCGCATTTGAGTCTGATAAGCTGGTGGAGTTCTTTAGAACCCTGCTTCTTATGAAAAGCTCCCAACAACAATATTCACTCCTAATTATTCTTCTTCTCTATGTCAAAGAGGAAAGATAAGGCTGCTAAAATTCCTGCTTGGAGATGAGATAAAGCTTTACCTAAAACTTTTGACAAACGGTCAGATTGCAGTTTGGAATGCTCGACGAGGGTAGTTTCACCAGCCCAACCTGAAGATAAACAGGAAGCAATGGGCAAACTGATGCGGATTGTGAAAGACATGTCCTGTAAAATGAGTCAAGGTTTAGAACAAGCAGAGATGAGCCAAATCTATTGAAACAAGCATTAATAATCGTTAAGATCAAGTTTCAGGAATGACACAGGAGTGGAAAAATGTTAGACAGTTAAAGAGCTTGGAGACAGGGCAGAAACAAATGAATTTAAGATAACCAGCTTGGATTAGAGAATCAGCGAAACAAACAAAAATTGATTTATCTGGAAGATAATTCCAGAAGGTCTAATATTAAAATAAAGAATTTTCAATTGCAAAATGGACAAGACCTCAAAAAAGAGATTATAACCTGGGTTAAGTCTATATTGGGTACACAACACTTGAATGAACAGGACATAGAAAGGGCTAATTTTGTTGGTAATCCCCAAGCACTAGAACAAGACCAGTAGTAGTGAAGCTTTTTATACAAAGAAAGAACAATTTATAAGATAAATCAAATAAAAACAAGACCAGCTGGTCTACAGGAGCATAAAGCTACAGATTTTCCAAGATTTCTGTAATGACGTCTTGAAATGGAGAAAATCCATGAAGCCTGTTACAGCAGTTTTGATCAAAAATAATCTCAAATACCAATGGGGTCATCCTGGTTTGATTGTTTGGAAAGTTTGGAAAGATTAGATTCTTTTTGAAATCTACTCTTGTGATGAAGGTAAAGACCTGTTGAAGGCTTGGAAATTCTGGCAGGAAAAAGAGGAAAGTCAGGATTTAACCCTACCTTTAAGCAAAAAATAAATAAAAATAAAAAAATAGAAGGCTGAAGCAGAAAGGACTATATTTTTGAAGGACTAGAAGATGGGCCAAAATTGTTGTTTTTCTGCCCTTCCAAATCTTTTAATTCTCCTTATTTTTATTTTTCTCGTCTCTTTTCCTCATTCATCTATACTAACTTTTTCCATTAAACTTAGTTTAATGCGTTCCTATGGCTCTTAAACTCACCGTTCTGCGAAGTTTCTCCATAGCACCGCCATTTTTGCACCCTCGGTAAGCGAGGGCAGGGGGTGAAAATGGTTGCGGTGGCCATTTTGGGCTTCCGGCGGCCATTTTGGAACCACTGATCAGCTTTTTAAAAAAACATTGCAATGCGATGTTTTACCCATTAAAACATCGCAATGAAATCGCATTAGCGATCTAAAAAAATAGATCGCTATGCGGATTCATCATTAAACGGTGTGCTCTTTAAGCAAGGCACCACTCTACTATAATTCTTTGCAGACGTGGGAAAGGAGGAAAACGATATAAAGACACTTGGAGACCATTGTGTCATGAAGGTGTCTTCTAATGATCTTCTGCCAATACCTGCTTTTGAACAGTAATGACCACATTCCTTGGTTATGGTAGTAGCAAAGACATCCATGGAGGGGGTGCCCCACTTGTAACACAGCGTAAGAACGACAAGGTGATCCAGAGCCCTTTTGTGGGCTTGGATATGCAGACTGCTTCAATGGTCTGCTACGGTGTTGTCCTCTGTTGAGATGTGAAAGTTTTTGGGCATGTTTAATGCTAATATGATATCTCTATGTCCGGAATATCAAAGTGTGCGTGCACATAATATATTTTTGTACAGTATTTACTCACAATGTCTGAACATCGTAGCCAAAGTCTGGCCCCCGTCCAATTGATCTACAAGGTGTATGTTTTCTGCTCATTTATGCTCAAAGGTGTGATGGTTAGGTTTCACCATATCATTTCTGCCTTCTCACTCTAGCAACTCATTTTAAACACAAAGCTTTCTTCATTTCTTTTGAATATTTATTATCTCCTCTAGTATCAAAACTTTGCAGCCGTCTCCTGAAGAACGACAATTTGCGTAATTCAAACTGCATAAAACCATTACTAAAATACTTTTATTAATAAAATGTAAAACAATTGAAGATATATAGAACCACTTGGTTTCCTCCCCTATATTCTCCATCCTTTGACTAGGAACACAAACAGGGAATCTGTGGCTGAAGACTGGAGTTGTTTCATTTTTCAGAACAGAGACCTTTTTCCCTTAAAGCCACATTCCTGGTAAAAAAAAAAATTAGCAGATCTCTTTCCACATCAATGTATCGTTTTCCCCAAAATAAGACCTAACCTGAAAATAAGCCCCTGGATTTTCAGGATGTTTATATATAATAAGTCCCAGTTAAGTGAAACCCTGCCCTGAACCATTGTGCAGCAACCAGCAGAAGATGACATGGCTGTATTTGAATAAATGTAGATTGTTGTACATGAAAAAAAAATCCCCTGAAAATAAGTCCTAATGCGTTTTTGAAGCAAAAATATAAGACCCTGTATTATTTTCAGAGAAATATGGTACCTAAGCATTATGAACACTCAACAAGGATGATATCTTCCTGTTGTTCCCCATTTCTGATGGGGCATCGACTACCTTTCTGTTATTATGGGAATCACATACAAAAAAAATCCAGGGCAAAGTCTCTTTTGAGCTGCATTGACAGGGGTGTCGTCTCAAAACAACGTCAAGTCTTCCTTCCTCTCCACTCAGCATTTGCTAGCTCTCCTATAGACTACGGTAGCCAGTTCTGCACTTTAAGAAGGATACCAGCCAACAGGAACAGGCTCAGAGGGGGTGGCAGTAAAGACAAGTGAAGAGGAACTAGGAACCAAGCCCCAGGAGGAACGAGTGAAAGAAGTGGGCATGTTTAGCCTTCAGGAAAGAAAACTGAAGGGTGATATGAACACGCTCTTCAAAAACTTGAAAAGTTATTGGACAGAGAGGCAGGGTCTCTTCTCAGTCTTACCAGAGTGTAGGACACAAATTAATGCACTCAGGGAGCCAGATTTCGATTGAGTATCAGGAAAAACCTGCTTACTATTTCAGCAGTACAACAGTGGAACAGGAGGCTGAGAGAAAATTTGGCAGCTATCTCTTAAGTGCATTTTATTTTCTGCACTGAGCAGGTGAGTGGGTTATATGACCTTATAAGATTCTTCCAATGCCATGATTGGAATAAAGAATGACATCTCGCTCACCTTGGAAATGTTAAGAGGGATTTAGGATTGGGTTATTCCTTTTTCATCCAGAGAGAAGTGAACAGAGATCTACTCACTTTCAACCCTTCCCTTGGGGAAAAGAAAAACAATCAGTCTGGAGGCATCTTAGATAAAGCAAACAAAAGACATTTCCTAATAGTGCCTGGCTTGGTAGTTTTCATATCACATGGAGTTACATCTCCATCTCTCTCTCTCTGTCCCTCCTTTGGAAAGCAGAGAAAAAAAAAGGGGGGGAGGCAGCTAATGAAGAAACAACCAGGAGGGAGGAGGGAAAGAGGAAGATGGAGGAACCTCTCACAGACCTAGAGACAAAAATTTGGTCATTCAAGTTAGCTGGCCTGGATGGTGGGAAGCATAACTTCTCTCTTAACACACCCAGGGAAAGGAGGGGAGTTAGGAGCTGTAGGTGGAGGTGAGCTGAGTGGGCAGGGAGTGATCCAGCCAATTTGCCTGAAATCTAGGATGTCTTTGAAGGGGTC